CGAATTCATATCTACTGCAACAATAAAAACTGGATGGTACAAAGGGATCTTGGCACAAAGTAGAAAGAGGAACACTCCTTCCCTCTCCGCTGCTTTTGTACTACTACTTCTTACGTCTTCTCCATAATCTTGGCAAGTTATGTATTGAAGATGACTAAGCTGGATACTGAAAATAGCCACTTTGATATTTGGTTTTATTTCAGTTATTTGGTTACAGTAGAGGTATGTGGATGATTGTGGTTAATGCTTATTCAGCCTTACTTTCATAAATGTCTCTAAAGTGCCACTTTCAGGCAGACGTAATTGTTTTTCTTTCCTTTTCCTGCTATAGGCATTCATCTCTGGTAAACTAAAACTTAAAGGAAACATCATGCTGAGCCAGAAACTGGGGATGATATTCCAACAGTATGCAAAGCTGTGAATTCCCTGCTGAAATGATTTGCCCTCTGAAGAAAAAAAGAAACAGTTTCAGCTAGGACAAAAAAGCAGCTGTTTCATTTTTAGAACAACCTGAAATGTTATATAAATTCTGCATTAGATAATTTCCAATAGACTTTGTTGCTATAAATGCAAGTTGTCTTGATTCTTGCAGATGCAGACAGTTGATTATTATTTCCTCTCTTTTATTCTATATTCCAAGGCTTTGTACCAGCCTTCAGATGATGGATTTATTATACAATTCATCTGGAGAGCCTTTTTGGGAGGCTTGATTTGTGCCTCTTCCTTATTCTTCTTTCATTAAAAATGCAATTAATATATTTCTATGGAAATCTAAATATAATTAAATAAACTTCCTTTGATACTAACCTCTTGTATTTGTTTTTCCTGTCAGTGGCTTAAACCAGATTTCTTAGCTACTTTGTTCTTTAGCCTGTAGAGCTCATTATTTGCTAAAAAATAAATTAACTGGGGATTGCTTACTGATTATATTAAGTGGCTATGAGGGTGTTGTGCTGTTCCTGTGTTGTTTTACTGTATTTTACTGTATTTTACTTTGATATGCTTGGTGAGTCTGCAACCTGTAATAAAGACTAAAGTAAAATACTTTGTTATTTAGGAGAAATGATATAAAGTTGAAGAACTTTGAAGATTGGTGCGTTAGGCTTTAGCTTGTGTCAGATCCTAGGATTCCAGGAACTACCAACTCCCTTGGTTGACTAGATGCTATCCAGAAGGGATAATTATTTGACTGGTTCTGCTCACAGATTTCTTATTGAAAATATTGAGACATATGGAGGAACTAAAAAAATGCTGGGATGATTTTTTACTGGTCTTGCTACATGCTACAGTTTGCCATGTGGTCGTGTTTTGTTCCTCTTCATTTCTGAATCTATTTTCTGATATTTCTGTCAAAGAGACATAGATGTAGTTCACACATAGAGCTAAGCTGAAATATGGTTTATTTGTTTAGCATCTTATGTAACTTCAGGCAATAATTTATTCATTAAATCAAAATTAATTGAATGATGGTTTAACATCATGTGTAAACTATCAAGAACTCTGCCAGTACATAAGCTTCCATCACTTGTTAGTTTAATAGCCTGGGCAATACAGATCACAATAAAGAGTTTCAAGGAATCCAGCAGCAAGAATCACGGTACCTTTTCAAAGTATACAGTAGTTCTGGAGATTGATTTCTGCCATCAAATCAATCCCAAATTTGCTGGATCTCATGTCATTTCTGCCTCCTACTGAATTCCTATATGTGGCTCATTTATATCTGGCGTCTGCTGTAGCATCAAGCATTTTATCCTGCTATTCACAAGCAGTAATGTTATAATCATTAAAGTTGCTCTTGAAAAACAAAATAAGATGTGCTTAGATTACATCTGTTTGAAGCAGCTTACCACGTACCCTTTCTTATGCATATGTATCTAAAGGCACATGCTAGGATCTTTAATCAAAAGTAGATTGCAGAACAATTAGGACACCCTTATGGGGAAAAGCAATAGGCAATTAGCAAGATACGCACAAAAATGTATATGTGCAGCACATACATAAGACAGCTGTTTGGTTAG